TCATAGTATTTACTACGTTTTACCAGGAAACTGGAGTTTACTAGACAATTGAATCATAGCGTGACCTGTTTATAAGTTGCATTTAGTTGCGGTCAGTATAGACCTAGGAATAAGGGAATCATTTTGAATATGACTTGAGTCACGTAGAAGCGTTTAGCTATTTTTTCATTGTTCGACTAAATCTCATGGAAAGTAGTACTGTAAGTGTCTGTCTGTTACTTCTGAGGGATTTAATGATGTGCTAGGCAACCACGTCGATTACTTGGTCTTATAGTTGGGAATTCCCTGTGCTATGAGTACCAGTGCAACGGGGCAAATGGAACCTCCTCATCTAGCGCTCACAGTGCGAACTAATTTTAGTAGTAGGAGAGCTCCTTGTGAAAGAGTTCGTCCACGTAAGTACTGCCACCTTGCCTATTTCTGCCGCCAAGCAGTGTTAGCATTACTGCGTTCAGGTTTTGACGGGTAAGGGTACCGGTGAAATTACAGGCACATGGGACATGTCAACTTATGTCTCAGGGTGATGGGCGCAGTGGCAGTGCCACTCAGATCTTTGAGATGTAAAGCTCTGAGTGGCACTGCACTTGTTATGGACAGGCGTGTAGCTTACCATGAGGCACACCATTTGTTTGTCCCATCACTTGATATTATAAAAAAAAACTATTAGCGTATAGAGTTCGCCAAATACGGAAGAAAATTTCGATGTAATGATATCAAGTGATGGAAAGAACAAGTCGTGAATCTGGTGGTAGGCGACACACCTATTAATAACAATTGCAGTGCCACTCAGAGCTTCAAATCGCAAACATCTGAGAGACACTGCCACTGCGCCCGTCATCCTGAGATATAAGTTGACAAGTCCCATGTGCCTGTAATTTCACCAGCATATTATCGCTTGGCGGCAGAAATAGGCAGCAGTACTTCCTTGAACAAACTTTTTCACACTTAGCATCTGTTGTGAATAGGGATACAGTTCGCAGATAGGTCTACTCATCGCTACAAATTGTTATAAGTAAGCTCCCATTGGTACATTTTTAGTTAAATACCTTTTATGCGTGTCTTTATAGTTAGTTATAGGATAAATATTATGGTCTTTGTCATAACTGCAGAACCGCCTTTAGCGCCCAATAACACTGTTAGAAACAAACCTTTAAAATTAAATATATTTTAGATCAGGTGAGACTTTGTGTTTTTTTGTATAACATCAAGTGACAGTGGTCTTCAGTAACACGTCTGTTCATAACTGTTGCAGTGCCACCCAGAGCTTTAAACCGCAAAGATCTCAGGGGCACTGCCACTGCGCCCGTCATCCTGATACAAGTTGACAAGCCCTATGAGCCCGTAATTTCACCGGTACCCTTACCCTTCAAAACCGGAACGAACAGGAATGCATACATTATTGCTTGAATGCAGAAATAGGTAAAGTGACTGAAGTGGCAGTACTTCTCTGGACGATCTCTTTCACAAGGAGCTCTGTTGCTACTGAGTTATCAAAATGAGCAAACATTATAAATGTTTCTAATATTTATGAGATAATAGCTAAAGGGATGACATAATGTATATTTAAGCGGAATCTATGGAAGCGCTATTTGTGCCGATGCCCTAGAGTTGGGGTTTTAAGTGTCCATACCTAAATATGTCCCTGTATGGCTTGATAATTTGAATAAAAGCAAACAGCCCTTTAATTAGACTAAATAAAGATGGAAAAACTAGTTTAGTTGCGCGTGTAAGTGATAAATTGTGGAATTCTCGCACACGGAAGCTTGGTAACGTTGTTATCGTCGTAATATTTTTATTATTTGTTTATTTCATTGTATTGTTGTTTATGCGAAACTGATAATCTCGTTTCGACGCATTAAGTTTTGATGTAAAATATTAAACGTTAATTGATTTATTTAGGCGCATTGAGTGGACATACGTCATAGCCAAATTATCAACAATCAATATATTTAATCATGTTGTTAATTAATCACAAAATATAGTAGTTATGGCAATAAGTTATTAGCCTTTTTGACAGCGTTGCAAGGCAGAGACTATGCCTGAGAATTATGACACGAACTTTGTTCTGAACTACGCAAAAATGGCGCGCTAAGAAAGTTTTTCCTACTCACCAAACGAATTTTGCCCAAGTTTCAGTAAGATATTACGAAGTAAATTAAAAGTTTAATTTGATTTCTTGCTTAAACTTAGACACAGTTCGTTTTGTAAATACGAAAATGCTTAGTTAGCCATTTTTTCACCGACTTCAAAAACAGGAGGTGGTTTTCGACCGTATTTTTTTGTATGTGTTACGCGATAACTCCGGATTTAGTGTGATGATAATCCGGATCATTTGTGAACCGATTTTGATAACTCTTTGTTTGCTGGAAAGAGGGTACCTCGGTATTGGTCGTATTTAAATTTGAAGAAAATGTTCCACCTGTACGGGTGGTAAACTAGGGGATGAATCCGGTTTCGCGCACTTTCCGGTAACCGATTTCAATTAAACTTGGCAAATAGATGTAGGTAATTCCAGAAACTTTTGAGATCGCTTTTTTTATAAAAAAAGTTACAATTATTCTTAGTCCAATCAAACTTTTATACATCTCAGCCCATATTAGGCTGTGGTCGTGACATGTCTCTTTTGCTTCCCTAGTCTTAGCACACACGATCGTTTATTCTCTTGATCTGACCTTTTTTAAGGATATCCTCAATCTGATCGAGATTATCTTCACTGAGGTCGACCTTCGTATTTTAATAGTTTGTAGTTAACATTTTAACGAATTTTTTTTTAGTTTCGTGAGTCGAACAGTCGACCACGCGTTTGTGGTAATTACTGTTATAATATTTAAGATCTATTTATGATTGCCAAATAGAAGCAAAACATACGAAAAAGTGGATTTTTTATTTATGCAGAAAGGCTTTAATAATTATTTACAAAACTATAATAAGAATTCACTTCGGAGCACTATCCAGAACGAATTTACAAAAATTCATTTGTTAACCCCTTCAAGTACATTATTTAAATTGTACCGCATATAAAAGTTGTCACTGCATTTCTTTGTGCTGTAGTGCTTATATTAATAAATAAACGTTTAGAATTTTGATTTTGTCAGTATGTTGTCGATATTTAGAAGCAGCAGATGAGATTGATACTATGATTATTAATATTATAAATAGCGAGAATTTACTTAATATTAATGAGTTACATTAGCGTAATTATTATTTTTTGTTTGTATGTTCTTTATTATTATTATTATTTTATTTGTTTCTTTGTAACTTGTAATGTATTTGCCTAGGTGATGAATGCCGCGCCGCTAGCAGCTTAGACTAAATTTTTTAAGTATAATGAATGTCAAGATGTTTGACCACCACGATATTCAATTATTTTTGTGAAAATACTCCCACTACTTTGTGTTAATAATGATATCAGGCTTATATTTAAGTTTTTCAGAGAGGCTGTAGGCGGCAGTTACACAGAAAGCATTGGGAAATTATATAGCAATGTAAAGCCCGTAGTTGGTTTTTTGAGTGAAACTGGGTACTCCGTACATCATATTATTCTAATATTTTATTTTACGGTAAGCTCTCTTATTGTCTATACGGGTTAGAACTGATTCTATCGGGAATCGAACCTGGCTCTTTCATCGGTTCAGTGCAAATCGTTACTTCACCGAGGTCGTCAAAAACTATATACATTAGAAAAATAACGGAAAAATTTAAGTATACTTACTAGATTATTCGAAAGTCCCGTTATTGGAATAGAAGTACTTAATCTAGTCAGATATTCGATAAAGAGATAGAGATACGATACATTAAAGGTATTTTTTTAAATAAATAAATAAAGGCGAAAATCAGAATCTAATCGTGTTAGTAACATACACAGTGTTATCGCGTGATATTAGTAATTCTACGTAGATATTGGCTGCGAACCTTTAATTTTTTAAATTTGATACTATCTACGCATCATTCTTGTTTCAATACATATTAACTCGAAATCAAGGTCGGTATTTCGTCGAAACATTGTAACAGTTGAAATGGCCTTATTTACTATATAAAATTAGTTTTTTTGAATGTTGCTAGATGATGTGTATTCCGCCTTAAAAGTCCAAAATGTTTATTTCCTAATTTCGGATTGGATTTCGGCATATTTTCGAATATTTCTTTATTTAAACATTTAAAATCGTTAATTTGTTTATTTTTAAAATAAACCCGTAATGTTCTTCATTAAAAAAATTAAATGAGTTTTATAATGTTTTGTATCTGTTGCGTATATCTTTTAAATAGTTACATGTGAGTTGTTTGACCACGAATCGATTATTAAATTGTATAATTGAAGATGCGTTTCTGACATATATTAAGGACTATTAGTTTAAATTTGTGGTTTATTCATAAACCGTAATTGATATTGTATTTACCTAATCCAAAACATTATGTTCAAAATTCGAATAATATTTATTACACAAAAAGGTATATGCAACAGCTAACTTTTACTATTGTGAAATTATTCTGAGTTAGCAAGTTGAATCGAAATCTAATTTTATGCAAGAGCAATCAAAAGTGAAATTCGAACTGAAACCATACCAGTGTTAACAGTCGCAAAGTTGCCTACTTGTAATTTCATAATATTTAATGAAATTTATCAAGGTATTTCGAAGAATTGGTTTAATGTTTTAGGTAATTAAGCACTAATGCATTAGCCTGTCGAATACGAGCGAAACTAGCCGCGGAAAAGCGGCGCATAGTTCATACGCTGAGCTCAGTGGATTTCGCAAACCACCATCTAATGTGAACCTATTAACCTCTTCGACGAGCGAGCCTCGAGGCGAAGGCGAGAGGCGGATGGAGCGCACACGGCGTTCATTAGACACAAGGTTGTGCCGACCATCGGCCATCCCACCGCATGCGCCACCATCCACCGGCCTCTCCTCTTCCGCGGCCCGCGCCCCTTGCCCCTGCACTCACTACCTACTGTCCCACCCACTCGCACACAAAATAATAGTAAACAAACCAAAACATACCTCGCCAACTGCAAAGCATTTCTATTCACAAGCTCATTGTAGAAATTCAAAAGAATGTTGCTATCAAACATTATTTAGCACTATATCACAGCCATCTTTTCCACATAAAAATATAGAAAACAAACAATCCGCGGCACCAACGATCACAGGATAACACAACGTCCGATTCTAGGCACGTCCGTGCGCGAGCGACGTCAAATTAAACTGGCCCAGTCAAAATGACGAAAGTGAAAACATCGCACGCACGGAAAAAAAGGTTGGCGGCGGCTCAGTCAGTGTACAGTCCTTGCAGGCCACCTCTCGCGCCGGCTCCAGTGACACACTAACTGCGAGCGCGCGCATCGCCCGTCGCCTATATAATGAAGCGCTTGGAGGCTCCGACATCAAACGCCACAGGACGGCACAAAAAGAAGATGCCTCGCAACGGTACGGTAGCTAGGAAAGATTTAACACAAAGAATAGCGACACGTGGGCGCGTGTGCGTGCACGTGCGAATGTCGGTGTGCGCAGAGATAGGCGGCGCAGGAAACTCCGTTCTCTTCCACTAGGAAAGACCTTGGATTCAAATCGGCACGTTGCAATGTATACCACCATCGCCTACGCCGCTGTTACCTACTTGATGGAGTCAGCGGAATAAACGATGCTTCCATATAAAGTGTTTATTTTAAACATGATCTTGTTGATACTATAAATCTTTCTAATATGGGAAGCGAAACAAAACAAATGTCAGCAGGTTGAGATCAAATATTAACCTAGTTAATAGTTAATGAGTAAAGCAGATAGCTTTATTGTTATAACAAGCACAAGCATGACCGAGTGGACAAACAATAATTACTGTCGATGACGACGATGATGCAATTGAAGCTGATAATGGTATTAGCAATTTGACACGTATTTGGCGTGGGTGGTCGGAACCTGGTGGCGCAATTGTACCCGGAGAAGTCAGAAACTGGGTCATTAGAGAACTTGCTAATATGCTTGTTATTACCAGCCGAAGTAATGAGTGAACAACTTTCATTAACATGAGAAATGAAATCGCTTTCCAAGAGAAAGAAACTCATAGCGTTTGACTTGTAATTTAAACCAATCACTTTGTGATTGAAATGTGAGCACATGCATTGAATAATACGAAACTGACTACCTGTGTATCTTATTAAATTACTTTAATACTTTTAAATCCAATTAATTTTAGTTTTGATAGCATAAAATCAATCTAAATTCGTAATAATAGAATACAACAAGGAAAATATTACGTGGTACAAAGCAATTGATACGGCATTAGGTGGCACACTCAGTCATATCATAAAAATATTAATGTATGTATAAAAACAGTAGAAGCAAAACCAGCTTGTTGCTTAATAACACATTGTAGCGTTAATGCGACGCGGCGCGGGCGCAAGCAACTCGATCCGTTTTCGTAACAGCTTTCCACTTTCATTTCCTCAGCCTCATTGTCTAATGAATGCTCAGATTGGATAACTCGGGGAATTTCTTAAAAAGATACTACTTACATAAATACTGAAGGCTTGTGTGAGAATTATCTTAATTGTCTCTTGTTTTTGACTCTTAATTTAATTAAAAGTGTTGTTATTGAAACTTTATTTTGCAATATAGTGAGAGGCTCCCATGGTGATCATAATGTGTTGTTCTTTTGTTTTTCTTTGCTTGAGAGGGTTTTTGCTGTGAATATTGACGAGTTTTATGACATGTTTAATGTTATTCTCGATAATTTTGATGCGGAAACACGATATCATTAGAAGGGTATCTATAGTCGATATTGTCTATTAGCCATTACTGAACTGGCATTGTGGAGAACTATCCCATTTATCACACTATTAGTAACAGGCCTTTTCATACGTATTGCAGAACAATGGTCTATTCATGGTTTTGCAAAATGCCCTCTCTATGAACTAAATACTAGTAATAATGTGAAATATGAACAATTGAACCTTGTGCGCGGTTGTAAACAGTTTTTCACTTTCATTATACGCTTGATTAGAGATTTTCTGGTGGGCTGTGGTTGATATATAGTAGCTGATGTTATTAGGTAATTTGATGTTAAAGTGAAAGTAAAATATTGTGGCTACGTATTTTGGTACTTTTGTTCAATTCAAAAAACACTGCAACCATTTTTGGAAACCTTCAAGACTAGGTAACATTTAGGTAAACAGTTTGTACAAAGTTTGAAACGGGACTAAACTTTCAATTATGAGTAATGATAAGTATATATATCAAAGTTTTAGGTTTTCGCGATTGCTGCACATTGGGAAATGATATTATTTTTTTGGATATAAAATCGCGTATGTTTGTGTTTTCAACGGTCACCCGAAAACTTGGCTTTTTCGAAAAAAACAAATATTTGCGGTTTAAATACGAAAAAAATAATTTAATTTTCAGATGATATATCTTTACTTTCCAATAAAACCGTGAAGCGTAAGTCGTATAGGTTCTTATAAGTAAAAGACATTACGAAAACAATGGTTACCGAACATACCTACATCTTTCTACCTTAAAAAGTTTGTGAAATCAGGATGAAGTCATCCGAGATACGTCTGTAGACATCTGTCCAAAACTTTCTCAACATTTCACCGGGCGAAAGTTAAACCAAAATGCATTGTACTTTTGTTACTAGCGAATCACGATCTTTATCACAAATCCTGACATTTGTCGCGCCCCCTCATATTCGCCTTTGAAATGAAAGTACTTGACTGTTAAGTACTATGTTTTATATTCAACAACATTTTTCTACATTCAGTCATCTCTAAAAAATTAAGGCTTCATTTAAGACACGTATGAAAGACAGAAGTCCGTTCAAGGTCAACAAATTATAAACTTATTCTTGAACAATACAGATAATAGATGTAGCTAAATGAATAACATGTTTCTTTACGAATCGCATGTCTCGTGTTAAGAAATCCATTAAAATTAATCAAATTGATTTTCAACCGATTGCGGTGTTCTCAACCGTCTATTATATATTATTGAGTATCACATTGCGTACCATTGCGATTGGTTTCGGTTATCTCTGTTACGTGTCGGTGGGCTATAGCCTGCGTGAAAGTGTTCCGATCGAACCAATCGAATGTAATGCATCCGCATCTACCATTGCATCCGTCACGATCGGCCCTGGCTGCCATTTATTAATATTAAACGAAAATTCGTTATCCAACTAGCCTTGGGCCGCGTTCCTTTCAGTTCTACTTAATGATGACAGTTGCTTGAAACGTGCTGTTTGTAATGGGACCAACTCAATGACCGTACACTGTGGTCACGGAGACTGCAAGGTTTTTCCACTAATGCCTGTGAACGGTTCGCCGGCAATGGAATGCAAAGCTTACGAGCATGATTTTCTGTCACGGCTCGACAAAGTCATTAATGCAGTCCACAGCGAAAAGATGCAAGGTTTCAATCATAACAAATTAAGGTACCGCCAATGTTCAACTTTCGAAAGAAAATTCGACATGCCGAAGGTTTTGTAATAGTTATTGAAAGCGCTCGTCAAGCGAGGCTCGCGCAGAAGTCGAAAGTGAGACCGAGAGGTTGCGCAGGCGCGTTACGAAGTTTTTATTGTTGGCCGCGCGCGAAATCACTTGAAAGTTGTATTGTCCTTGGATATTTCACTTCTTTATTTGTTGCGTTTCCGACACCCGAACGAAGTTCAGTCACTGACGTTAGTAATAGATCACTTTGCGTGTGCTGATGCCATTAGGTCCCCTTCACTGCAATCTCTAGCGATTAGATAGATTTGTCACGCGGGATACATCCCGCGTTCAGCTCTGTGGTATTTATTCCGGTTAATGCCGCTCTATTTACGATTATAGCTACGCAGCTACGATTTCAGGATGGTCTCGATGTTCACGTGCAAGTACGTACTTACTAGGACTGCTGAAAAGTTTGAGGAGAAATCTTACCGAGGGACTACGCTAGGTGCGACTCCGATATCGTCGGAGCAATCCAGGGTGTCGGTGTGCGCGGGAGCGCACGCGGCGGCTTCCTGGCGCTTGCGCCACTTCCCTGCTTGCGACACGCTTCCTCCGGGAGAGTGCGAGGCCGCGCGCGAGTTCCGCGCGCTAATTGCACAACTGTTATCGGCGAATTGCTCAATGGTTCGACTTTCACTGAAACAGCTTGTAACTGGTAACTCAATCCAGGGTGTAAGCACTATGTGTTCACTGTAATCCGGGCACAGTCACAAGTTCGCGGGAGGTAGGTACGCGTGCGTCGGCGCGACGGCGCTGCGGGCCGCGTGCGCCGGGCGAGTGGCGCGCGCGCTGCGGCGCCGCCGTCGGTTGCGCCACTCTTACAAAAGTAAAAGTAATCGGCGCGGGCGCGGGGCGCGGCATTTCTCCCACTTTCGCTGCAGTGATTCATTCCTCGGCACACGCATACGTCAAGGTCGCTTCCCGCCACTCCCGCGCGAATCCGAGCCGATGCTCCCGTCAGCGTTTGTCACGTTGCACCGCTCAGCTGTATAATGCGGTCACTGGACGTGGCCCTGTCACTACAATGTCAAAAGTGCATCTACTTACTTTACTGGGTATCGTGTTTATAATACTCAAGATTAACGCATCCATACTTCATTGATATAACGGCTGGAGATGTAGTAGAAAGTTAGGAAATTGAACACGAATCTTAATACTTACATGCATCGGAGAACTAAACAAAAACAAGAACTGCAAACTATTAACAACATGTTACTAGGGACATTGAGCGAAGACGTTGTCGTCACTAGCTGGAGAAAGTAGGTAGGTAAAGTATGTAGTAATCATAATGTGAAACAAATGAAGTAAACATTCACTTTCTGTCCGCGGAAGGCTTGGATACGGTGCGTTGTCTTGTCATTGCATCGAAATTGGTTTTAAGTGAAACTAATTGGTTCGTTTCCATAAGTAATCACAAGATACCGTACATTCAATGTACGATGAGAGTGATTAAAAACAGAATGCAATTATAGGGAAAGTAAATAATTGTCTAATTAAAGACAATGAAAATGAAGACTATATGCAATAAATAAAAGATACATATGCATAAATGTGTATATCGTATGTACATAAAGAGAAGGAGCACCAATTGAAAGTATTAAGGAACAATGATTTAACACAGTTGACAGTTATAGAAAGTCAGTCACGCTACACTAAAAGGAACGAAGAAAGAAACTAACCGTAAAGGCAGATAAAGAATTCTACAAACGAATGTATGCAAAGTAGTACAACGACGACCTAAGCCCATTGATGAAAATGCAAAGATAACGACGGCCGTGATGAAAAACACCGGATACAAAACATTCTCTTTTACTGCTACGTACTTTAGGGTCATGAATATTTAAATAAATAATTCAGTTACAAAACAAAGTACTATCAAGGTGAAAGCTTTTTTAGCAATTATATAAATAGTTAATGGTGAAATTGAACTGTAGAAAAAGAAATATACACTTTTGATGAATACGGACTTAGAGTAGTAATTCAGTTTTAGACATGGAGTCATTGTTCAGTAAGACGTATATTTACAGACGGAATCGTAAATATAGAAATAAGTATGACCTATTTCATATGTAATGGAAATTCAACAGTAAAAAGCAAGGCAGGAAATCAAGAAATTTCTCTCAGACATATGTACTTTAAATAATTGATATGTAGTTCTGTACAACTTATCAATTATATTTGTCTCTGGAGAGCAAGTTAAATTAGTCTAAGAATAATAATAAAATTTGATTAATTTGATTCATTTACATATTCAAACGTTGATTCATTTATGACACCCGGCCATTATTTAAACAGTGAAATAGGTGAATCAGATCGAAATGTAAGTGTGACATCACACACCGAGACAGTTTCGGGAAAATTATTCACCCGTCAGATCCGGGTCCATGCTATTATTATTGTGTCACACCTACACGTTCACAAATCACAACATGTTGTCAGGATTGCAGTTAG